CGGGGACCTCGAAGACGCTGGTGTTGGGTTTTGCCGAGCGCAACTACCCGACATCTTCCGGAAAGCACGACCCCGGCCGGCTACCAAGATGGACAGAAGTCCATCTACAACAACCTAAACCTGCCGCGTCACTTCTATTTAGCCTGTCCGTGAACTTCGTTTATCTGGTGCGCATCCACGTGCAGGGACACGTGACGAGAAGGCCACGAAGTGTCAAGGCTATATGGTCGGAACATTGGTATGGCGTCGTCGCCCGCTGCCCTCGCGACTACGCGTCGCCTGTGGGCTACAGCAGCCGCAGACGCATCGACTACCGCTCTTCTTTGCGGCTCGGAGCAGATCGCATTCCGGAAAGACGACCCGTTCCGTGTGGGCGGTCTGGATTCGGCCCACTACGACGAGATTCTGGGCTCGAAGCGGTGGATTGTCGGCAGTCCCGACACCGTAATCGAGCAGCTGCGCGAAGTGCTGAGCTATATGCGCCCCGGCATCCTGGCCGTGTGGACCAACGACGGTTCCATCAGCCACGAGGACACCATGCGCTGCCTGGAACTCATGGGGCAGGAAGTGCTGCCGGCGCTGAAGGAAATCGGCGAAGAGCTGGAGCTGACCGACCGGTTCCAGAAGATGGCGGCTGAAGGGCGGTAAACAACCCTGACGCGCAGGGTTTTCACCCTCACCCTGGCCCTCTCCCGTCAAGGGAGAGGGGACGCCCTCCCCGACCCTCTGCCGGTGGAGAGGGAGCCGTATGGCGGGCGGAAATATTAGAACCGGCGACATCAAGGAGCAATACAAGAATGGCAAATTTCACTGAGGAAACGATCTCGGTAGCCGGTAGCAACCTACAGGTGTTCAAGGGCGGCAGCGGCGACCCGCTGCTGGTGCTACATGGCGCCGGAGGCAACTCCGGGCCCCGCCGCTACGCCCAGGCGCTGGCGGAGAAGTTCACCGTCTACCTGCCGTCGCACCCCGGCTACGGCAAGAGCGACCGCCCCGAATGGGTAGAGTCGATGCAGGATCTGGCCTGTTTCTACACCTGGTTCCAGGAGCAGGAAGGGCTGGAGAACGTGCGGGCCGTTGGCTTTTCCATGGGTGGTTGGCTGGCCGCCGAAATGCTGTCGATGACAGGACACGCCTTCAGCAAGGTTATGTTGGTCGGCGCCGCGGGTATCAAACCTCAGGACGGCGAGATTGCCGACATTTTCATAATCAGCCCGGCGCAGGTGCGCGAACTGGTGTACCACGACCCCGCGCAGGTGCCGGAGTGGGACGAGCTATTCGGCAGCGACCCAACACCCGAGCAGGCGAACCAGGCGGAGGGCGACCGGGAAATGGCGATCCGCCTCACCTGGAAGCCGTACATGTACAACCCGCGGCTGCCGGCCAAACTGGCGCGGGTCAGCGTGCCAACCCACATCGTCTGGGGCGAACAGGACGCGCTGGTGCCGGTGGAGTGCGCCGACCTCTACCAGCAGGCCCTGGCCGGCTCTGAGGTTACGGTCATATCGAACTGTGGCCACTCGCCGCAGATTGAGAAACCCGACGAATTCGCGCAAACCGCGCTGGCGTTTTTTTAGGAAGCCGCCCTCACCCCCGGCCCCTCTTCCCTTAGCCCTCTCCCAACGAGGGAGAGGGGAGTTTCCACCCTCACCCCGACCCTCTCCCGCCGAGAGAGAGGGGGCAAAGTTGAACCCGCTGGAGATGACAGACGATGGACGTTTTCTACTTCACCGAATTTCCTTATGCAGAGTTTCCGGAGTCGGAAGCGGAGAAGTTTCCGTCGATGCGGCTGACTTTCCCAAACACCTACTTCGACCCCCAAATAGCCAGCGGTCTGATGAACCGGTACCTGGACGAATACCAGTACGCCGAGGAAGTAGGGTTCGACGGCCTGATGATTAACGAACATCACAACACGCCGTCGTGCATGGACGTTGAGGTGAACATCACCGGCGGCATTCTGGCGCGCATCACCAATCGGGCCAAAATCCTGATGCTGGGCAATATGCTGCCCACGTCGGATAATCCGGTGCGGCTGGCCGAGGAAATCGCCATGCTGGACGTAATCTCCGGCGGGCGCATCATCTCTGGCTTCGTGCGGGGTATTGGCATCGAATCGTGGGCCAACAACACCAACCCGTTGCACAACCGCGAGCGGTTCGAGGAATGCCACGACCTGGTGATGAAGACGTGGACGACGCCGGGGCCGTTCCGCTGGGAGGGAACGCATTACCACTACCGAGCCGTGAATCCGTGGATGCTGCCGATTCAGAAGCCGCATCCGCCGGTTTGGGTTCCCGGTACGGGCAGTCCGGAGACGGTGGAGTGGACGGCGCGGCACCGTTATACCTACGCCGCCTTCCTGACTCCGCTGGACGTGGCCAAGAACCTGTTCGCTCGTTACCGGGAATATGCCGCCGCTGACGGCTGGGAACCGGGGCCCGAAAAGTTTGCCTTCATGATTTGCTGTCGGGGGACTTGAGGATTACACAACTCGACGAAAAGGGCGCAGGAATCTCAAGCGCCTGTTGCTATGAACTACCCGCTCGTGCGTGTTTGACCGCGTGCTAGATACTGCTTTCTCTCAGCGCTATTTCCACACTACCCATCTCTGCGCTCCGTTCTCTCCGCTGCCGCAGCATCGCTGCTTAACCCACACCTCCACCATCTGCCTTAGTCGTCTCCACGAGGAGTTGCAGGAGCGCGCCAGTCTGGTAGTAGGCAGCCCCGAAACCGTCATCAAGAAGCGAAGCACATTCGAGACGAGTTGGGTGTTGGTTCGCTGCTACTGGAAGCGCAGGGCGGCCGCCTGTCGCACCAGGACACGATGCGCTCCATAGAGCTGTTCGGCAAAGAGGTGTGATACCGCGCGCTTACATGTAAGGAATACGAAGAACCGAGCGGGTTTGATTGATCATCTTTTGATGTTGAAGGCGTGCTACGGAATCCCAACACCAAAATCCGGGCCGATGATCCAATACGCTATAGTCAGTAGCCATTGCGGCGCCTGCCAAGTGTCGCCTACATCGAGGCCCATCACTACGGCTGCTGGGATCCCCAGAATGATTATTGTTGTGCCTTTATCAGTAAGTCGTATATCTTGCTCATATCGGTTTCGCCAAGTGACAACCCCGGACTTTGGTCCGTGGTGTTTGTGGAATGGTGTGCAGCCTGTAACCAAGCTGTGGCCCTCATGCGATTATCCAGTCAGGTAAGTGGGATTTGTTAGTGCGTTGATGAGGACGCCGAAAGCTTTCGTCAATATCTCCCACATTGGTGGATGGTAATGATAGAGCACAATCGAAGAGCCGAGGCACTACAAGCATCCTTGGAACCGGATGCAATCGCTGGCGCTCGAGGTGTGGGTCGCATTGGGCGTCATAGGATTGATCTCATGAGTGAGTAACTCTCTGCGTGTAATCGTTGGCATTGCGGGTATGTTGCCGTGGCATCTGCGCCGGGAGGAGGGTCCCGGAAGCAGAGACGCATCCGCGCCACACGATATCTAGGACAGGTCCATGCTGGCGACAGCCAACTCACCCGCCCGGCCAAGCGTTATGCACGCGCTTTCTTGTTGGGCGTAGCAATAATTAATTTTGGGATTGTTGTCCGCAAGTCGCCAGCGACGAACCTAACTCAAGAGGCCGAATCCGCACTGATTGGACTAGCCGACTTCAACAGTGGAAGGCGTCACTGTCGATCTTGTAGGCACTCGTTGTAAGAAGCACTGCGCTGCCCTAACCGGATGATGGAGCGGAGAGCGCACGCTGTTGACTGCACGTCTTCGAGCCGAGACCGGTGGCTCAGAACGGGCAGTCGATGCCCAGTTCGCCGCAGGTGTCGTGGAACCAGTCCACCACCTCTTCGTGCAGGGGGATGCCCTCGACCCGGCGGATTTCTTCCATCTCGGCTTCCGGTTGGCCGGCCACGAGGACCCGCTCTTCGCCCGGGGCTGGCCGGGTGGTCTTCATCATGCGGAGCCATTCGTCCATCTGGTCTTTGAAGTGGTCGGGGTCGTCGAATCCGGCCACGTTGTAGGCGGCCACGTAGTGTCCGAAATTAGGGCGGCCCGGAACGGCGCCGTAGCCGAAGCCGGTCAGGACGCCGGCGAGAATGTCCACCATGCAGGACAGACCATAACCCTTATGCGAGCCCAGTTCACGCGTGCTGCCCAGCGTCAGCAGCGTGTAGTTGTCGGGCGCGTCGGCCTCCTCCATGATGGGGGTGCCCTCGCTGTCAGCCAGCCAGCCCGGTTCCAGCTTGACGCCCAGGCGTCGGGCGATGCCCACCTTGTTGCCGGCGACGGTGCTCGTGGCGGCGTCGAACACAAACGGCGGCTCGTTACGCGAGGGCACGGCGATGGCGATGGGATTGGTGCCCAGACGTGGTTCGGCGCCAAACGTTGGCACGACCGAGGGCGGGCAGCTGGTCATGCACACGCCGATCATGTCGTGTTCCAGCGCTTTCATGGCGTGGTAGGACGCCATGCCCAGATGCCGGGCGTTGCCCAGCGTAACCATGCCGATGCCCACTTCCGCGGCCTTGCGGATGGCCATGTCCATCGCCTTGGGGGTGGTGATGATGCCCAGGCCCCGGTCGGAGTCGAGGCTGGCAGTGCTGGGCGTTTCACGGACAACGCGCATCTGTGGATTGGGATTGATCTGTCCGCTGGTGTACCCGTTAACATAGCTGCGGAGCATATTGGAGACACCGTGGGAGTCAACGCCGCGCAGGTCGGCCAGCACCAGCACGTCGGCGCCGAGCTGAGCATCTTCGGGCGGCACACCCATCTTCTCGAAAACGGCGGCGACGGTAGACTTCAGATCGTCCCCCGGAACCATCGTGGCCTCGTCTAGATTGACGCGAAATTTGGGCAGCACGGTTTACCTCCTGAATGGGCGGCGATCTCTGAATGGACAGCGATAGTGGTATTTGCTTGGGCAGTATAGCATCGCAAAGGCCTTCGCTCACCCGCAGTGTCAGCGCGAGTGAGGCGTGGCGATCTCGTCATCGCAGCAACGGCGGTTCGCCGACGTGCGTTCAACCTCATCGAGATTGCCACGTCGCTATGCTCCTCGCAATGACAGACAAAGTGGGTACGTGTGACCCACCGGCGAGATTGCCACGTTGCTATGCTCCTCGCAATGACAGACAAAGTGGGTACGCGTGACCTACCGGCGAGATTGCCACGTCGCTATGCTCCTCGCAATGACAGATTAAGGTGGGTACGCGTGACCTACCGGCGGGACTGACGTGTTGCCGCGCTCCTTGCAATGCCAGGTTAAACACTGGTTTCCTGACGACAGGTTGCGCGCAGGTCTGCTACGGAAATAGTGTTGGGGTGAGGGACGTGCGCCCGGTGCTATAATTCCGGCCAGGAGCAAATTCCGTTTCGAACCGCACGGGGGCGATGTCGTTATGAGTAATAACCAACTGGATGCCAATGGCCGGGCATTGGACTATCTGGCGCGCCTGGGAGCGCAGCCGGCAGTGGCGTTCCACGAAAATGGCGTCGCAACGGCGGTGCGCGGAGCGCTGACCGAGATTGGCGTTTCGTGGCGAACCGACGCCTTCGGCAACATCATCGCCCGTATCGCTGGCACCGACGCAGGCGCGATCCCGCCCATCGCATTCATGGCGCACATGGATCATCCGGGATTCGAGATAGTGGGTCGGGATGGCGATTATCTGATTGGCGCGGCGTCCGGAGGTATACCGGCAGGTGCGTTTGAAGCCGATGTGCCGCTGCAAATCCTCCTCTCCGCCGGCCGACGCGTCGCCGCCGCGACGGTGGGCAAGCACGGCGAGGAACGCCAGCGGCAGGTACTCATCAGCGTGGGTGGATCCGATGCTGGAGATATCCCCGTACCAGCGCCCGCGGTGTTTGATCTACCGGATTTCAGCATCGACGACGACTATCTGGTGATGCGGGCGGCGGACGACCTGGCCGGCTGTGGTTGCATCCTGGCGGCGCTGGATCGCCTGTGCGGCGAACGACCCGCCGGCGATGTTTACGGAGTTTTCACCCGGGCCGAAGAGGTGGGACTGGTGGGAGCGCGGCTGCTGGCCGAGGCGGGCACACTGCCGTCAGACACACTGGTAGTATCGCTGGAATCGTCGCGGACGCTGCCAGGCGCCGAGATTGGCGGCGGGCCGGTGATCCGTGCCGGCGACGCGGGCAGCACGTTCAACCACGACGCGGAATCAGCACTGATACGGGCGCGGGAGGTGTTGTTGGCGGGAGATGGCGAATTCAGATGCCAACGTCAGCTGATGAGCGGCGGCGTCTGCGAGGCCAGCGCGTTCCTGGCCTATGGTTATCGGGCTACGGGCGTAGCCTTCCCGTTGGGCAACTACCACAACGGCGCGCCGGACGGCTCCATCGCCGCGGAGTACATTCACCGGAACGATTATCTGAATGGCGCTGCGCTGGTAACCGAAGCAGCGCGGCAGGTGGGGATGCGTTGGGATACGGCGTTTAGTCGGCGCATACGTCAAGTGCCGGACGCAATGCGCGCGCGGTTGGGGGGGTAACGGCCGTCGCCGGCCGGGTTGTAGCGGTGGGGTGTGGATGGCTTGGTGTGGGGTTTTCACCCTCACCCCAACGCTCACCCATCGAGGGAGAGGGAGCAACCCCCTTGCGTCTGCCCGGGTTATTGCGATGCGGGCGCATTGATTCGGTGGAGGATTTCACCCTCACCCCAACGCTCACCCATCGAGGGAGAGGGAGCAACCCCCTTGCGTCTGCCCGGTTTGTTACAATGCTGGTGCAATCCACGGGGTGCAGGAATTCACGGTCACCCCAGCCTCTTTCCAGCCAGGGAGAGGGAGCACACCAATGAAGTCATCAAAAGAGGAGGCGCAGCAATATGCCAGTTCACCATGAAGCGCAGGGGGCGGGCGATGTTACCGTCCACAAGATTGAAAATATGGGCACCCTGGGCAACAACGGCTACATTGTGGTTTGTCCGGAAACCAACTCAGGCGTGTGTATCGACACCCCTGCCGAACCGGAAAAGATGATTAACGAGGTGCAGGCCCACGGCATCGACGTGCAGGCAATCCTGATTACCCACGGCCACCAGGACCACCTGGCCGGTTACACCGAGATCACGGGCGAGATCGGAGCGCCGGCTGCCATCGGTGGGCCGGACGCCGGCTTGCCGCCCAGCCCGCCGCAGCGCAACCTCAGCGACGGCGACACGGTAACGTTTGGCAACCGCAGCATCCAGTGTTTGAGCACACCTGGCCACACTGAGGGGTCGACCTGTTTCCTGGTGGGTGGTTTTGTGTTTTCGGGCGACACCCTCTTTCCGGGCGGGCCGGGCAGGTCGCGCAGTCCGCAGGCATTGCAACAGGAGCTGAACAGCATTAGCGGCAAGCTGCTCACCCTGCCTGACGACACCTACGTCTATCCTGGGCACGGCCCCGAAAACACCACCATCGGTGAGGCCCGCCGGCGGTATACGGTGTTCATGTCCAAGTCGCACTCGGCAGATTTGCAGGGCGACGTGGACTGGCTGAATACGTGAACCGCTTGACCGATACAGGTATCCCCCAGATGTATCGACGCACGGTGCTGGCCAATGGCCTGCGGGTGTTGACGGCAGAGATGCCCCACACCCGCAGCGTCTCGATGTTCATATCGGTGGGCGCCGGCTCCCGATACGAACCCGCTGAACTGGCCGGTCTCTCCCACTTCCTGGAACACCTGCCGTTCAAGGGCACCCGCACCTGGCCGACGGCGCTGGCTATCTCAGAAGCCGTGGAGGGCGTGGGCGGCATGATGAACGCCGCCACCGACCGGGAGATGACATCCTTTTATTGCAAGGTGGCCAGCGTTTACGCCGACCGCGCCTTGCCCGTGCTGCTGGACCTGATTCGCCACCCACTCCTGGATCCGGTGGAGATGGAGAAAGAGCGCGAGGTCATCTTGGACGAACTACGGATGACCAACGACTATCCGGCGGAGGTTTGCGGTCTGCTGATAGACCGCGCCCTGTGGCCGGGGCAGGCGATGGGCCGCGATGTGGGCGGAGATCCGGCCACGGTGGGCGCCATCACGCTGGACGACGTGCGACAGTACATGGAAAGGCAGTATCGGCCCAACAACACCGTGGTGGGCATTGCCGGCAACCTGTCCCACGATGATGCGATCAATCTGGTGGCCGGGGCTGCCGCAGACTGGCTGCCGGGCGAACCGCTGGGCTGGGAGCCGTTTGCCCCCACCGCTAACGCTGCACCTGCCATCCTGTTGGACCAGCGCGCCGCTGAGGACACCAACATCTGCATGGGACTGCCGGGGCTGACGCTGACCGACCCGGATCGCTACGCTGCCATCGTGATGAATGGCGTGTTGGGCGAGGGGATGAGCAGCCGGTTGTTCCAGAACCTGCGCGAGAACCTCGGCATTACCTACGATGTGCAGAGCGGGTTGAGCAACTACCGTGATTGCGGCTCGCTGGTGGTGTCCTGCGGCACCGAGCCGAGCCGCGCGGTTGAGGCAGTGGCCGCCATCCGCGCCGAATTGACCACGCTGCTGGAACTCGCTCCGGCGACCGAGGTTCACAAAGTGCGCGAGTACATCAAGGGGCGGCTGTTGATGCGCATGGAAGATTCTCGCTCGGTGGCGGCGTGGCTGTCGTCGCAGGAGTTGTTGATGGGTGAGGTAATTACGCCCGATGAGACGGCCAACCGCATCGACGCCGTTATGCCGGATGACGTGCTGCGAGCCGCCGAACGGCTCATCGACCCGACGGCGTTGCGGCTGGCGGTGGTGGGGCCGCACGACGGCGACGCCGAGTTTCAGGCCGCGCTCTCCGGTTTATAGACGCCCAAACGCGATCCACGGCAAACGCGATACAGGAGGCAGAAAAATGCCCGCCACAACACGTTACAGCAAGGTGATTCAGCTGCTGGAAGAGGGCAAGCCGGTGTTTGGCACCGGCCTGATCTGGAACGGCAACCTGGACGAAATGACCTATTTCGCCGATTCCGACTACGACATGGTGATGATTGAGATGGAGACACGAGGGGTTGTCGTTCAACAACCTGCGTACTTCGTTACAGTTCCTGCTCAACCGCAAACGGGTGTCCGACGGCGGCGGCTTGCAGGCCGACCCGACGCCGGTGGTGCGTATCCCGCCGAACACCCGGGAGCAGAACCAGTGGGTCATCAAGCAGGCGCTGGATACCGGAGTGTACGGCCTGATTCTGCCTCACCTGGACACGGTGGAGGGTGCGATGTCGGCGGTGCGTGCGGCGCGGTATCCGCAGGTTCCGGGCGTCGCCGACTTTGAGCCGGTCGGCGAACGGGGCTGGTGGCAGCGCATAGCGCCCCGCTATTGGGGGCTGTCGGCAACCGAGTATTACGACGCCGCCGACATTTGGCCGATTGACCCCGACGGCAACCTGCTGCTGATGGGCATTGTCGAGGAACCGACCGGCGCCAACAACCTGCCCGACATTCTGCGGGAAGTGAAGGGCATCGGCGCGATCTGGGCGGGCCCGGGCGATATGTCGGTTGCTCTGGGGCATAAGGGCAACGCCGGCCATCCTGAGGTGCAGGAGATGCTGCTGCGGATTTTGGGTATCTGCCAGAACGCCGGCGTTCCCTGTGCGGTGGGTTGCACCGAAGCGGAGGTGCCCATGCGTCTCGAACAGGGGTTCAGCATCCTGATTACTGCGCCCACCCGCACCGCCGGCGGCCTGACGGAAGGACGGCGCATTGCCGGTCGGTAGCAGGTTGCGCCAACCGCATCCTGTTCCTACGGCGGTCTTTGCGTAATCTGTCATCGCGAGAGCGCAGCGGTGTGGCTATCCCGCTCGGACTCGGTGATACCGAATCTTGAAGGGCGGCAGTCTCTTAGAGACTGCCGCCCTTCGCTTGCAGAGGGAGTACGGGAAGCCGCCCCGTTTATTCGGCGGGCGTAGTTCCGCCCGGGCCGGTCAGGTAACGCAGCAGCGGAGAGTCAGCCGGCAGAATGACGGTGTCTCCGGGCTGGAATATCAGCCGGTAGGATTCGAGGCTCCGCAGGAAGGCGAACAGTTCGGGGTCGCGGTTCAGCGATTCCGCCAGAATCTGGATGGCCTGCGCTTGACCTTCGCCACGCCGCTTTGTTGGATTCCCGCTCAGCTTCAGCCAGGAGGACGTCGCGGTCGCGGTCGGTGTTGGCCCGAATCTTGCGGTCTTCTTCTTCACCTTCGGCGCGGAATCCGGCAGCGATACGGTTACGTTCGGCGCGCATTCTGGTGTAGATGGAATTGGTAACGGCCGGTGGGAAGTCGGCACGCTTGATCCGCACGTCGATGATTTCAATGCCGAAATTATCCCGCTGGGTAATTTCCTGAACCCTCAGGAGCACCTCATCGAGAATTTCAGTTCGCGTCTCCTGTGCTTCGACCAGGGGAATACCCTCGGTGTCGACCACGGGTATACCGAATCGTCGAGTTGAGTTTTGGCGCCGATTATATCGGTGCGATCGCGCAGGGCAACCCGGTCACGGAGAGTGGAGATTACGATGTCCCCCAGGCGGCTGCGGGCGTTGTTTTCGGTTTGCAGGGTTTTGCGGAACTGCACTGCATCGATGATGCGGTAGCGAGCGTAAATGTCGATCACCAAGTTCTCTTTGTCCTGGTCGGGCATCGAGGTGGCCGGGGCGTCAATCCGTAGGATACGTTTGTCCAGTCGCACTACGGTGTCGACGAAGGGGAGTTTGACGTTTAGGCCAGGCGTGTTCTGAGTATTAACCACCTCACCAAAACGGAGGATGATTACCTGTTCGGTAACGTCAACTACATAGAGCGCCTGGCGCAAAATAACTAGCGCGAGGACGATGATAATGACGATGATGATGAGATTGCGCATTAAAGGGTTCTCCGAGCGGGGGGACGGTCAAAAGGGGAAACCTGCGGGTGTGGCGAGGGTGGCTAGGGGTTGGGCCCGATTGGCGCAGGTACGATGTTGCTCCCCTGTCCCACAATAATTAGGGGGTCGTTTGAGCCGTCGACGACGATCTTGGTTACGCTGGGCAGCACCGATTCCAGGGCTTCCAGGTAGAGGCGCTGGCGCGTTACTTCTGGAGAGTTCAGGTATTCATTGAGAACGGCCTCAAAGCGCAGAGATTCACCGTTGGCGGTTTCGATGCGGGACTGTCTGAAGGCTTCTGCCGCCTGGATGATGCGCTCGGCGTCACCCCTGGCTCGCGGGATAACGTCGGCCTCGTAGGCCAGGGCCTGGTTGATGCGGGTTTCGCGCTCTTGCCGGCCACGCAGCACGTCGTCAAAAGCCTCGCGTACCTCTTCGGGCGCTTTGACGTCCTGCAGCTGCACCGAGATTACCTCGATGCCAGCCGTGTAGGTGTTCAAAATGGCTTGCAGCCTCGTCCTGGTGTCGGATTCCACCAATTCGCGACCGCGCACCAGCACGTCGTCGATGGAGCGTTGGCCGACCACCAGACGCAGGGCGGCTTCAGCGCCATCTTTGAGGGTGCGACCGTCGGGGCGGCCTTCTGGAATGTTCCGCGCCAGCTCGCCGGGGTCATCGACATTGAACAGGAAGTTGTTGAGGTTGCTGATGCGGTATTGCACCACCATCTGCACGTCGACAATGTTGAGGTCCCCCGAAATCATCAGGGCTTCATTTTCGACCGTGGTTTTGGTTTCGGCGGCGTTGGAGATGAAACCCAGCTCCATACGACGGGTTTGCGTGACCATTACGACGTCTTTTTTGCCAACCGGAGACGGCCACCACCAGTGCAGTCCTTCCGCGTCAACGGGGTTGCCCTGAACCGCGCCAAAGAGACGCAGGGCGGCGTTTTCGCCTGGGCTGATGGTGTATACGCCGGTGGCGGCCCAGATGATGGCGATCAGGGCGACGACGGCAACGATGAGGATTCCAATGTTGGCGCCGCCCAGGCGTCCGCCGGCGCCACCGAAAATGGCGCTCAGGCGGCCGAGAATTTGGTTAAGGTCGAATTCGGGCTGTCGAGGTGGTTGGCCTCCGCCGGATGAAAACATACGTATCGGTTCCTTTGTTGGGGTGGGTAATGGAACAGCCCTGACGATAACAGATGCCAGGACGATGGCAATTTAACCCCGATTGACGGGTCAAATCCCGCACGGGGCGATTAGGCACCCCAGTATAACACTATTGCCAAACCCGTGGTTTATAATGGCCTTCCGCTGGAGACGCTGGCCTGACTCTTCCTGTTTTCGCTCGGCGCGCTGCCGGCGCCCTCCGATCGCAGTCCAATTTGCCCACCGCCGACGCGAACTACCAACCGGCATAACTAACCAGGATTAGCACAAAGCGGAACCAGCATGCAGAATCAGCATAAGGAAGGTTTTGGAATGACCACGCCCGTACAGCTTTGCGTCCGGCGATGCCGAGTTGGAGCCGCGACCCCGGGGACTAACGGTGAAGGTTGGCGAGGATATGGCGCGGGTTCAGGTTACCTGCCAGCACCAGAGCGGGCTCATCTACGCGGTGCCCGGCGATTTGAGCTGGGTGTGCAGCGACGAGTTGCGTCCGGCCCACGCCATGGCGGGATTTTTCCGGGAGCTGGTGGCGTTGCGAGACCCACGCGTCGAAAACCTGATGCAGCAGTGGGGCCTGTATTACCGCAGCCTGCCACTGGAAGCGGACGAAGCAGGGGATGAGCCGCCCGCGCCCTGATCCGTACTTTGAGGGTTGCACGCCGACTTCAAAGGGCGACGCATTGTGCGTCGCCCCGACCTTTGTACTGATCCCTCACCGTTGGGAGACTTTTGCATAACCTGTCATTGCGATAAGCGTTGCGGCGTTGCGATCCTGGCCTGAGTATGATGGGCGTTGCGGCGGTGCGTTCGCGGGTTACGGCCTGCCCCGGAACGACGGTTGGCTGCCCCTCTCCCATGAGCCGGCCCTCTCCTGTCAAGGGAGAGGGCCGGAGTGAGCGTAGCGGTCCCCAGTTTGATGGCAGAGGGTTGGCGCGCGCTCGAAGCCGTCGGTTTAGTCAGCGGCTGGCGGCACGCCGGGCGTTGGGTCTGCGGTGGCGGTGCTGCCGAAGGACGGCGCTGGGTTGGGCAATGGATCGCCCTGGGTAACAGGCGGAGCCGGCGGCGCGTATGGCGAAGGCGCCGGCAGCGGGCGGGCGGGTTCAGGTTCGATGCCGGGCGGTTCGTCGTTGAACAGCCGGTTAAGCGCCTCTCCGGAAATCGCTTCGTGCTCAATCAGGTATTCCGCAACCTGAACCAGTTTGGGCTTGTAGTCAATCAGGAGTTGCTGGGCCTGGCGGTAGGCGCTGTGGATGAGATGGCGCACTTCGACGTCAATCTCTTCCGCGATTTTGTCGCCGTAGTCCTTCTCTTCGCTGAGCTCGCGGCCCAGGAACACCAACTCTTCACGCTTGCCAAAGGTGCGCGGGCCCAGGCTGGGGGACATACCGTAGCGTTTCACCATACCGAGGGCGGTCTTGGTGGCCCGTTCGATGTCGTTGCTGGCGCCGGTGGTAACTTCGTCGAAGATTAGCTCCTCGGCCACACGGCCACCCATCATGACGCCGAGCATATCCTGGAACTGGTTCTTGGTCCACAGGTAGCGGTCTTCAGAGGGCAGCAGGGTGGTGTGGCCGCCCATGTTGCCGCGGGGAGACGATGCTGATCTTGTGCACACGGTCGGCGTGTGGCAGGTGCCAGGCCACCAGGGCATGACCCGCTTCGTGGTAGGCGGTCATCTCCTTTTCACGCTGGTTGATGACGCGGCTCTTGCGCTCGGGGCCGGCGATGACCCGCTCGATGGCTTCCTCGAAGTCCGGCATGAAGATGCTGGACTGGTTCTTGCGTGCGGCCAGCAGCGCTGCCTCGTTGACCAGGTTGGATAGGTCGGCGCCGCTGAAACCGGGAGTTTCGCGTCCGATGATTTCCAGGTTGACTTCTCCAGCCAATGGTTTGCCGGCGGCGTGAACCCGCAGGATGGCGTGGCGTCCGACCACGTCGGGCAGGTCCAGCGTAACGCGGCGGTCAAAACGACCGGGGCGCAGCAGGGCCGGATCAAGGATGTCGGGCCGGTTGGTGGCGGCAATGACGATGATGTTGGTGTTGGTCTCGAAGCCGTCCATTTCGACGAGGATCTGGTTCAGTGTTTGTTCGCGTTCGTCGTGGCCGCCGCCGAGACCGGCGCCACGGTGCCGTCCCACCGCGTCGATTTCATCGACGAACAGAATGCAGGGCGCGTTGCGCTTGGCCTGCTCGAACAGGTCGCGAACCCGGGCGGCTCCCACGCCGACGAACATCTCAACGAATTCGCTGCCTGAAATATGGAAGAAGGGCACGCCGGCTTCTCCGGCTACGGCGCGGGCGAGCAGGGTTTTGCCCGTGCCGGGCGGGCCGACCAGCAGCACGCCCTTGGGGATGCGCGCGCCCAAAGCCAGGAAGCGCTCCGGGAATTTCAGGAATTCGACCACTTCTTCCAGCTCAGCCTTGGCTTCATCCACACCGGCCACGTCGTTGAAGGTTACGGACGGACGATTGAAGGGCAGCATACGGGCGCGGCTGCGACCGAAGCTCATGGTCTGGTTGTTGGAGCCCTGGGCCTGCCGCATCATCAGCAGTATCAGCCCGCCAAAGAATATGAGGGGCAGGAAGTTGATCAGGATACCAAAGACGCTGCCCAGCCCGCTGGAGCCCTTGTACTCAATCTCGGGTGCGGCCGCGTTTGCCGGGTTCTGGCCCAGGATCCTGGCGTCGGTAAACAGCTGGATCAGGTCGGTGTTTTTGCCGATGCGACTAGTGTACTTGGTGGTGTCTCCACCCCGGGCAACTCGCGGTATGACGGTGAGTTTTTCCCCGTCTACGATGATTCGTTCAATCTGGCCGGTACTGGCCTGCCCCATTACCTCGGTGAGCGAGAGTTGCTCGCTGCTACCCAGGCTGGGGATCAGCGTATAGAAGATGACTATCACGCCAATAATTATCAGCAGATAGATTAAGCTGTTGCGTACCCAGCGATTGTTGGTCATGGCACTCCTGCCGGTTTAGTAGGCCCCGGCTGTGCTGCAGCGCGATTTGTAGCCCGTAACCGAAAAAACTCGGGTGGATAGGCTACCATAGTAGCGCGTAAAGCTAAAATTGCAAAACAGACTGTGGCGGCGGCACCGGCGGCTGCCAGTCCGGCGCTGGGGAGGATAAGTGGTCAATTCAACATACGCTCAGAAACCACGGGTGTATCTGTTTGGTACGGGCGGAACCATATCTTTTGTGGGAGAAAACCGCACCGACTTCGCCAACTATAGCTATCAGGGGCATCAGCTCACCATACAGGAGATGCTGGCGCGGGTTCCTGAAGCTGAAGAACAGGCGGAAGTAATCGCCGAGCAGGTCATCAACGTGGGTAGCACCGAGGTGTACCCGTCCGACTGGCTGACGCTGGCGAATCGCATCAATGCCAGGTTCAACGAGGATGCAGAAGCAGCCGGCGCCGCCGTCACCCACGGCACGGCGACGCTGGAGGAAACGGCGTACTTCCTGAACCTGACCGTCCATGATGCGCGCCCCGTGGTGGTTACCGGAGCGATGCGCCCACCATCGGCCATGGGCACCGACGCGGACAACAACCTGATGGATGCCATTCACGTGGCATCGGCGCGGCAGTCCGCCGGCCGGGGCGCGCTGGTGGTGCTCAACAACGAGATTCAGGCGGCGCGGGACGTTACCAAGACGGACTCCTACCGCGTGGAAACCTTCCAGTCCGGCCACGCCGGGTTCCTGGGTTACTCCGATGCCGATGGCGGCGTGGTGTACTACCGCAGACGGAACGGCGGCACACCGCGGATTCCGAGTTTGACGTGTCGGACATTGGCGAACTGCCGCGGGTTGACATCGCATTCGCCTACGCCGGCGTCGATGGGACGGTGGTAGATGCGCTGGTGGACGCCGGCGTAGCGGGAATCGTGGCCGCCGGGTTGGGCAGCGGCGGTTCGCCGGCTCCGTTCATGGCCGCCCTGCAACGCGCCGTCGCCGCCGACGTGCCCGTTGTCCTGGCCACCCACGTCGGCACCGGGCGGGTGGTGCAGACCCGCCGATTTACGGAGGCTGGTTACATCGTGGCCGACAACCTGCATCCCAAAAAGGCACGTATCCTGCTGATGTTGGGCTTAACGCAAACCTCCGATACGGCTGAGTTGCAACGCATGATGCTGGAATACTAGCGTCCCCGCACCGGAGCGGATTCTTAATCAGGAGGCAATGCGAGGGCGCCTGGCGGCAGGGCCTTTGGATCATCCACCAAAACAAATAAACCGCCCACCGAAATCAAACACACCGCTCATCCTGTGCCCGTCGAAGGATGATCCTGGCGCCCGTTATCGACTGTTTATGCAGGCGCCGGCCGGTAGCTGGGTACCAGCCGGCGCTGGAACGGTGGACGCATTGGCAATCAAAGGACCCTGGGAGCGCCGGTGCAGTCTCATGTGTGACCACATTGTCATTGTGAGCGTTGCGCGGCAATCCCGTCGCCGTAGCAACGGCGGTCCGTCGACGGGTGTTCAACCTCATCGAGATTGCCACGTCGTTATGCTCCTCGCAATGACAGACCAAAGTGGGTACGCGCGACCCGGTGCAGCGGTTTGACCGGAATCAAACGCCCTGATACACTGAAAGCGTTAACAACTGAAACAGACACGAAATGCCTGCCGGTGGCTCGTGAACCGCGGTTCCTGGACAAATTATGGAACCGAGGCGAGCGGGCTGAAAAGGAAATCCGGTGTGAATCCGGTGCGGTCCCGCCACTGTAATTGGTGAGGCGCCCTCCGGTCAGTGTTCGTAAGGACGCTGACGAATAAGCCACTGCCCGAATTGGGTGGGAAGGCGGAGGAACGTCGCTCGTAGCCATAAGCCAGGAGGCCTGCCGCAGGTACGTTTTGACTGCACTGCGCGGAAGAGTGAGCAGATGCCGGCGAACCCTTAGGTCGTAATCCGACTGTGGGCAAGGCGGTTTCCACCGGATAGTTTCGATAACTTGCCCGACTGCGAAGTTTCCAGTCGGGTTTTTCGTTGTTGTCGCAGTGACGATTGCATTCCCCTGCGCCGCTCCGATGGGAAGGTTACCTCCTCCTCCGACCTGCCGAAGCGGCGCTTCTGACATAACTGGCTGATATGCAACGAGAACGTGTTGGTCACGCGTACCCACTTAATCTGTCATTGCCAGAATGCCCGCTCATTCCGAGCTCGTCGAGGGACGTGGCAATCTGGATGAGGTTGAGCACATGTTGGCGAAACGCTGTTGCTGCGGCTACGGGATTGCCACGTCGTTATGCTCCTCGCAATGACAAGGTGGGTACGCACGCAATGACCAAGTGGGTACGCATGAGGGACGCGTGGCGATAATGTGCGATGAACACCGCGCCGCCGAGCCGTGGTCGCGGGGGTGCGCAATTTGCTTTGCCATCGCCGCTGGTTCATAATCGCCGCAATTAGACGCAAGAACCGAACTCACGCAGGGCTGTATTGGAGGTGAGATTGATGACAACTCCCACGGATGTCGTCCTCCGCAATATTCTGGAAGAATGCCGCGACGGTGTGGATGGGACCGGCTTTAACGAGGTGGTGGTGATGCTGGAAAGCACCGCCGCGTCGGCGGAAGTCTACATGGATTTTGACGACCTGCGGTTCACGCCCAACGGTCGCGTCGTAACGTTGATGGTTCCCGGGGGCACGCACATGCACCTGGATATGTCCAAGATTCGGGAGGCCGAGTTCATTCATACGACCAACGACCAGGGCCTGCCGTCGTACCAGTTGTGGATGCGAGATGGTGAGGGCAATCCGGCGATGCGCGTTTACCTGCGCAGGTCGGACGTTGACGCCACGAATCCGCCGCGACACAACTTCTTCATGTCGCTGCTGGAAAAGTATCCGGAGAAGATTGCGTTGCCGGCCGACGCTTACGATTCGGCGGGCGATTAGCCATAGGATGGTAGCTTTGAGGATGGTTGTATTGGGGATTTCCCCCTCACCCCAACCCCGCTCCCGCGTGGAGAGTGGTTCGCCGGTGGCGCCAAAATGCCCGCTACGTCTGGGAGAGGGTGAGGGTTGATATATGGCCTCTGCAGTTGTGATAGCTGGGGTGCGTTCCGGCGTGGGGGCAAAACCACCATCGCCAGCGGCATCATGGGCGCTCTGGCCCGACGGGGCCGGAAGGTGCAGCCGTTCAAGGCGGGGCCCGACTACATCGACCCGACCTACCACGGCATCGCCTGCGGTGTGCCCTCCCGCAACCTGGATACCTGGCTGTTGCCCCATCCGGTGGTTACCGAGTTGTTCCACCGGGCCTCGGGCGCGGCGGACATTGCGGTGGTAGAGGGCGTGATGGGGGTGTTCGACGGCCACTCGTCGCTGGATGAGGATGGTTCCACGGCGGAACTGGCCAAGTTGCTCGATGCTCCGGTGATTCTCATTGCGGACGCCGGCAAGGTGGCCCGCAGCGTGGCGGCGGAAATTCTCGGATACCAGAAGTTCGACCCCGACCTGCGCATCGCCGGCGTCATTCTGAACGGCGTGGGCAGCGAGCGGCACCTGGAGTTTTGCCAACCGCAGATTGAGGCGACCACGGGCCTGCCGGTTGTGGGATGGTTGCCGCGCCGCGACGACCTGGTGCAGCCGGAGCGTCATTTGGGTCTCATCCCGACCGTGGAAGGCACGGTGGTCAACGAGTGGTATGACGCCCTGAACGCTCAGGTCGAGCTGACTATAGACATTGACGCCATTGCGCGCATTGCCGCCACCGCAGGGCAGTCCGGGACCGGGACCCGCCCAGGTGTTCCCAACGGAGCAGCAGCCGACCCGCACGGCGATTGCGGTGGCGCAGGATCGGGCCTTTCTCGTTTTACTACCAGGACTCGCTGGACTTGCTGGCCGCCTGGGGCGCCGAGGTAATACCCTTCTCGCCGCTGGACGATCGCGCGCTGCCGGCGAATGTTGGCGGTGTTTACCTGGGCGGCGGGTTCCCGGAGCTGTTTGCCGAAGAGCTGTCGGGTATGTTTCCATGCTGCAATCGATACGAGACGCCACCGCCAGAGGCGTGCCGGTTTACGCCGAGTGCGGCGGGTTGATGTACCTGGGCCGCAGTCTGTCGGACCTGGACGGGCAGCAATTTCCGATGGTTGGCGCAATTCCCGTGGTGTCCTCGATGGACGGGCGGCGACTGCACCTGGGCTACCGGAGAGGTGGCAGCCTGCGGCGACGGCCCCCTGCTGCGCTCCGGTGAGCAGGTGCGGGGCCACGAATTCCACTGGTCGGTGCTGCAGGAACCGCCTCGACTCCGCCAGCGCCGCCTATCAGGTGGTGAATCAGGATGGACGACCCGAGGGATTCCGGGCGGGCAGCGTGTGGGCGTCCTACATCCACGTACATCTGGGCAGCCGGCCCGGGCTGGCAAAACGGTTCGTGGATGTCTGCACGGGCGTCAAAACCTAGCTGCGAGCGCGATGCTGAAGAGTTTGCCACGGACGCCGGGCAGTGTCCTGGATATTACAACTGGAGGACGACGATAATGTCTACGGAAGAGCAACGACACGGGCCACAATCGGTGCGGGGGCCCCGCATCAACAAGGGCCTGGTAATCGTCAACACGGGTAACGGCAAGGGCAAAACCACCGCGGCCATGGGTGTGCTGATGCGGGCCTGGGGTCGGGACATGAAGGTGGTGATGCTGCAGTTCATCAAGCACACCACGGCCAACTTTGGCGAACAGCGCGCCGCCGAAAAGATGGGCGTAACCGTGCGGGCCATGGGCGACGGGTTCACGTGGCGCTCGCAGAACCTGGAGGCCAGCGCCGACTTGGCCCGTGCGCTTTGGGAAGACGCCAAGGAAGTCATCGCCAGCGGGGAACACGACTTGTGGTGATACTGGACGAGTTCACCTACCCGATGCACTACGGTTGGCTACCGGTGGAGGATGTGATCGAAGCGCTGAAAAACCGCCCCGAAATGCAGCACGTCATCATCACCGGACGCCACGCCCCCGAAGGGCTGGTGGAGTTCGCCGACCTGGTTACCGAAATGAACGTGGTGAAACATCCCTACGACGCCGGTATCAAGGCCCAGCCGGGTATTGAGTTCTGAAGGGGGGCGGCCCTCACCTGATCCTCTCCCAGAGGGATAGGGGGACGGCCCTCACCCCCACCCCTCTCCCGCAAGGGGAGAGGGGCTTTTAAGGATGGAACGGTATGAACATATCTGAGCTGGTTGACCAGACGATAGCGGCGATCGGGCCGCTGGACGCCGTTGCGATGGCCGCAGCGGAGGCCCGGCAGGGAATGTTGACCAAGCCGCCGGGCAGTTTAGGCCGGCTGGAGAGCCTGTCCGTCCAGTTGGCCGGCATCACGGGGCAGCCGATACCCACCATCACCGGGAAGGCGGTTATCGTCGCCGCCGGCGACCACGGGGTGGCGGCGGAGGGCGTTTCAGCTTATCCGGCGGAGGTAACGCCGCAAATGGTGTTCAACTTCCTGGCCGGCGGCGCAGCCATCAACGCGCTGGCGCGTCAAGCCGGCGCGGACATCGTGGTGATCGATGCCGGCGTGGCCGTTGACCTTGACCCACAGCCGGGCCTGACCATCGCCAAGGTGGCGTATGGCGCTGGCAATATCGCCCGCGGGCCGGCCATGAGCCGGCAAGACGCGATCCGTTGCCTGGAAATCGGCATCGCGGCAGCCAACGAGACGGGCCGACGCGGGCGCCAACGTAATCGCCGGCGGCGATATGGGCATCGGCAATACCACGCCCTCGGCGGCGATTACGGCTGTCGTCACCGGTGCGGATGTGGCAACGGTTACCGGGCGTGGCACCGGCGTGGACGATGCGGCGCTGGCAGCCAAGATTGAAACCATCCAGCGGGCCCTGGACACCAACCAGCCCGACGGCAACGATGGCCTGGACGTGTTGACCAAAGTGGGCGGGTTGGAGATTGGCGTGCTGGCGGGTGTGATGCTCGGGGCCTCGGCGAGAAACTGCGCGGTAATCGTCGATGGGTTCATCAGCGGGGCGGCGGCGCTCATCGCCTGGCGGTTGTGCCCGGCGGCGGCGGCGCGGTTCATCGGGGGCCACTGCTCGGTGGAGCCGGGAGCACAACGTCGCGCTGCAAGCGATGGGACTGATTCCTTTGCTGGATATGCAGATGCGGCTGGGCGAGGGTACCGGTGCGGCGCTGGCCATGCACATCGTTGAGGCGGCGGCCCGCTGTCTGGCGGAGATGGCGACCTTCGCCGAGGCGGGCGTGAGCGACCGGGATGACGAGTAGTTCCGCAAGGCCCCGGTGATACGAACGGTTTTCGCGCCGTTGCTGGTGGCGTTGTCCTTTCTGACCCTGCTGCCGGTGGGCCTGCGCTCGGCCAGAGACGTCGAGATTTCCCGTTCCCGTGGCTGGTATCCCGTGGTCGGGTTGCTGTACGGCCTGATGCTCGTACTCCTGGTGCTGGCGCTGCAGGAGGCGCTGGGCATTTTCCCTTGGTCGTTGCTGACGGCGGCCTTGCTGGTTACGGCGCTGGCCATCCTCAACCGTTTCCTGCACCTGGACGGGTTGATGGATTTCTGCGATGCGATGTGGGGCGGGCACACAGTAGAACGCCGGTTGGAGATAATGCGTGATTCCCGCGTCGGCTCATTTGCCGTAGCTGGAGGGGTTTGCGTGCTGCTGGTGAAGTTCGGCGCGCTTAGCTCGGGACTGTTATGGAGCAGCGCCGGGTTGAGTGCGCTGCTATTTTTTCCAATGGTATCGCGTTGGACAATGACGCTGCTGCTGACGGTGTTTCCCTACGGTAGGCAGCAGGGAATCGGTACGGCGTTTGCCTCGGGAAGCCGACCGTGGCTGGCTACCGGGATCGCCTTTCTGACGGTTGGGGCAGTTGCTTGGTTTATGCTGGGTCTGTCTGGATTGATAGTGCTGCTGGTGGCATCAGTGTCAGCCTTGTTGCTGGGAGTCTGGGCTTCACGGCGGTTGGGGGGCGGCCTGACCGGCGATTGCTACGGGGCTGCCAACGAAATAAGCGAAGCAGTTTCCCTGACTTTACTGGTTCCCTTGGTGGAGTCGTCCCTGGTGGAGGTAGGGTACGGAAGCGGCATAGCTTATGGTTTTCCATGGTTGGTTGGATGGACGCATTAGCCGCCGCTTTGCTCTCCTTGCCGGTGCCGTTGGATGTGCTGGTGTTGCTGTGGCATTATGCTGGACGTGGCGCTGGGGGAGCCGCCCAACCGATTGCATCCGACGGTGTGGATTGGCAACACGGTGGCGGCAGCGGAACGGCTCGCGCCGGGTCGGGTTGCGGCGGCGGCGGTGCAACTGGTGTACGGCGGGCGATGGCGTTGTTGATTCCGGCGGTGTGGGGCGGCCTGGCCTGGGCGCTGACCTTCGGTCTGCTGGAATTGCATCCGCTGGCCTACCTCCTGGTGACGGCGGCAATGCTCAAGACGACGTTTTCGGTGCGGATGTTGCATCGCGTTGCCGCCGACATCGGGCGGATACTGGCCACCGGCGACATCGCCGAAGTGCGGCGGCGGATGTCCGCGCTGGTCAGCCGGGACACTTCGCAGCTGACACCGGCACAGGCGGCGGCAGGAGCCATCGAGTCGGTTGCCGAAAATGTTACCGACAGCGTGGTCGGTGGCCGCTGCTCGCCTTTGCGCTCTTTGGATTGCCCGGAGCGGTGGCGTACCGGGCCATCAACACGCTGGACAGCATGGTTGGCTATCATGGCCGGTACGAATATCTGGGGAAGGCGTCGGCGCGCCTCGATGACGCGGCGAATTTGATACCGGCGCGGCTGGCGGCGGTGATGCTGTGGCTATCGACGTTGGCATTGCCGGGGATGCTCGCCGGGCGAGCCGGTCGCATCATGCTGGCGCACCACGGCAGAACGGAGTCGCCCAACGCTGGCTGGACCATGGCGGCCATGGCCGGAGGGTTGGGAGTAACGCTGGAGAAGGTGGGCCACTACCGTCTGGGCGACCCGGCTCCGGAACCGTGCGCGCGTCACATCGGCCGGGCGACACGGGCGTTGTACGCGACAACGGCGCTGGCGGCGCTGGTCGCAGTCGGCGTCATCTGGCTGCGGTGGATATTCGGCTGGGCAGTGTAGAATGGGCATTGTCGAATAGAACGGCGTGCGCAGAACAGGAGCAGGCAACATGACAACGATTCGGCACGGCACAAATGACGTTGGCGGAATACCGCGACCTGGGCCGGTTGGACGACGGCGTGTGGGAGCTGGCCGAGGGAGCATTGTTCGAGATGGCGCCGCCGAATTGGGAACATCAGAGTTTGATTGATTTTCTGGTCATGATGCTCAACACCTATCTGGCAGCATCCGATCCTCTGCCTGGTTGGGCCTACTCCGGGATTGGCGTGGTCCTGTCTGAGTCCACCGCGCCCACGCCGGACATGGTGTACGTGCGCGCGGACCGGGGCCACTTGATTCAGGGTAGCTTCGTCGAAGGTGCACCGGACATAGTCGTTGAAGTGATGTCACAGGACCGGCGGAGAGATCTTGGTCATAACACGGGGTTGGTATGCGAAGCCGGCGTGCCCGAATACTGGATAATCGACCCCGTGTCCGACACCATAAGCGTGCTGGAAGTGGCCGGATTCCAATACGAGGAGAGGGCCGTATTGGGTCGGGGCGATATATTGACCACGGCGGCCATACCCGGGTTTGAGTTGGAATTGGAGCGGTTGTTCGGCAACCCGGGCGGACCTGCGTCGACTTTAGAAGTGGCGATTCAGTGTAGTCAGTTGCGCGCCGGCACGATGAGTTCTCCAGAGCAAACGGGCACCGCCGACACAACACGGTACGACCGCGCGCCGGTTCACAGACTGGCATCAAGCTGGCGGAATTGCGGGAGTTGGGTTTACGGCTTGAGGATTGCCTCGACTTTTCGGCCAGCGTTAGCCCGCTGGGACCGCCGGATGGTGTGGCAGCGGCAATCGCCGCCGTCGAGCTGGCAGCCTATCCAGACCCCCACAGCCCTGGCGCTGACCGAGGCAATTGCTGAGCATCACCGCGGCGATGGCGTTGCAGTTGGCAACATCATTGCCGGCAACGGTTCCACTGAGATAATCCACCTGCTGGCGCGCGCGTATGTTGGCTCGCCGGCGGATGGTGTAGAGCCGGCGGCGCTGTTGCTCACGCCGACCTACAGCGAGTACGGCGGGGCAGTGGCCGTGTCGGGCGGCCAGGTTCATACCCTTGACGCCACCAGGCACTCAGACGGCTTTGGCTGGGATGTTGGTCTTACCGCCGAGCGCATCCATTCCGAGCGTCCGGCGCTGGTGTTTGTCTGCAACCCCAACAACCCGACGGGTGCGCTGATTGGCAGCGCCGACCTGCGGATTCTGGCGGACGTTGCCGCCCGCGTCGGTAGCGTACTGGTAGTCGATGAAGCGTACATCAACCTGTCCGACCGGCACGCCGAAGCCAACGCGGTGTCGCTGGCAGCGACCACCCAATCGTTGGTCGTGCTGCGATCGATGACCAAAGACTACGCGCTGACGGCCCTGCGGTTGGGATATGCCGTGGCCGGCGACTCGGTAATCAGCCGTTTGGCAGCGTTGCAACCGGACTGGAGCGTGAACGGGCTGGCGCAGGCGGCTGGCGTCGTGGCGCTCGCTGATGGTTGCTACCTGGAACGGGCGCGGGCTGCGGTGGCGGCGTCACGCGAGTGCGTGGAACAACGCTTCGGCGAGTTGGGTATTCGCTGTTACCCAACGGCGGCCAACTTCGTGCTGGCTCAGGTTGGGGACGCGGCGGCGCTGTGGGACCGGCTGGCCCGCCAGGGTATTTTCGTCCGGGACTGCACTTCGTTTGCTTGCCGGATTGTGATACGCATCGGTCTGCGTCCAGTGGAAGATTGCGTGCGGTTGGCCGATGCGGGGCGAATGTTGTGAAGTCAACTTCGCGTGAAGGTCAAACTTTGTGCAAGGAGCAGCATGGGTATCATTATATTACCCGCCACGGGGAGACGGAATGGAATGCCGAGGGCCGAATCCAGGGGCACACCGACGTGCCGCTGTCGGAGCGGGGGCCGTGAACAGGCGAGATGCTGGCCCGGCGGCTGGCCGGCGTGCGTATTGACGCCGCCTATTCGTCGGATTTGAGCCGGGCAGCGGAGACCGCCCGCGTCGCATTGGGCGAGCGCGATGTACCGCTGGCATTCACCTCGGAATTACGGGAGTACAACAAGGGCGTGTTTGAGGGTATGACGGCGGCGGAATATCAGCGAAAATTCCCCCACCTGTTCGAAGCCTCTATGGAGAACGACCTGGATTTTGCGCCACCGGAAGGCGAAACGATTCGCGAAACCAGCCACCGCCTGGGCCGGATTGTCCAGCAGGTGCGTGAGCAACACCTGGACGAAAACGTGCTGATCGTTGGGCACGGTGGCAGTCTGCGGGCCGGCCTGGTATCGTTGCTCGATTTGCCGTTGGAGGCCAACTGGAAATTCGTGATGCACAACTGTTCGCTGACGGTCGTTCACACTTACCCCAACAACTGCGTGCTGCACCTGTACAACGATACTTCCCACATCGCCGGCGCGGTGCGGGCCTATTGATGATCTTGCTATAAGTTATATCGTGGCACGTGACACGAAGTGTATCAATAGCTGTGGTTTCGCGCATTCTAACCGCGCCGCCGATTAGCGTGGCGGTTCCGAAGAGGTGGATGGTATGAATCTTGATAACAGGCAGATACCAAGGATGGGAGCAACTGGCTTGTTGCTGTGTGCGCTGCTGGCGGCGGCGCTCCTGGCCGGCGTTGCCTGTGGTGGCGATGACGAGGCTGCGACCGCGGTGCCACCGTTCACCGTGCCCACCGATTTGCCGAGTCCTGAGGCCGTGACATCTGCCGCCGTGGGCAGCGAAGCCACGGCCGCTACGACGTCCGCATACTGGCCGGGGTCCGAAAACCTGGGCACCGGAGGACGTTAGCGGGCTGGAACGAGTAACCCAGGAAACTGGTGGCCACGCCGTTTTTCCCGGAGCACGAGCAGGTGAACACGGGCGACCCCAGGGTTGTCGAGATACGGCTGGAGGTAGAGGAAAAAGAGATTGAGATTGCGCCGGGCGTGTTTATGTGGGCCTTTACCTTCAATGGTTCCGTACCGGGCCCCATTATTGTGGTCCACGAAGGCGACTACGTGGAGATGACGCTGGTCAATCCGTCCAGCAACGAGTTGCTGCACAACATCGACTTTCACGCTTCTGCCGGCGCGCTGGGCGGCGGTTCCCTGACCCAGGTTGGGCCCGGCCAGGAGGTGGTGCTGCGGTTCCGGGCGACGAAGGCCGGCGCGTTCATCTACCACTGCGCGCCGGGCGGCACGATGGTTCCGTGGCACGTGGTCCACGGTATGAATGGGGCCATTATGGTGCTGCCGCGCGAGGGTTTGCGGGACCCGGCTGGCAACCCGATCAGCTATGACCGTGCCTACTACGTTGGCGAACAGGACTACTACCTGCCACGGGGCGAAAATGGAGACTTAAGCGCTATGACAGTCCATCCGCGTCGATGGTGGATGACCTGGAGGCGATGAGATCTCTGGCGCCGACCCATATTGTGTTCAACGGGGTTACCGGAGCGCTGCAAGGTGCCGGCCAGTTGACCGCCAACGTGGGCGAGAACGTGTTGATAATCCACTCGCAGGCCAACCGCCAGTCGTATCCGCCACCTGATCGGCGGGCACGGCGACTACGTGTGGGAGCGCGGTGGATTCAGCAGTCCGCCGGCGGTGGACCTGGAGACGTGGGTGATTGCTGCCGGTTCCGCCGGGGCGTCGATACACACCATCCGGCAACCGAGAACCTACGCCTACCTGTCGCACAACCTCATCGAGGCGTTTGTCTTCGATGCCAAGGCGATCTGGTCGCCGAGGGAGAATGGGACAACGACCTAGATGTGACAGTCAGAGTCGCGCGGGCAAATTCAATGCACTATTATAAAACCGGAAGAGGGTCGGATACGGAGCGTAGTGCATGCGGAGCTGCGCTCCTTGTCATGAAATTTGGAGGCATGGCCCTTGCTCGAGCTCTGGGATTGCACCCTCACCTCGGGCCTCTCTAGTGCGGGGGATTTCCACCCTCACCCCAACCCTCTCCCATCAAGGGAGAGGGAGTATCATGTCCTTCAAATCACCAGGGAGAATATCACCATGAGCACCGCACCGGTCTATACCTATACCTACGACCACATCCACGTGCGAACCAAAGACCCGGAAGGCATGGCCGGCTTTTTCGAGACCATGTTTGGGGCGACGGTCTGAACCGCATCCAGAGCGACGGCGTGCCCCGCGTTGATCTGGATGTGAACGGCCTGGCAATCTTCATCGCCAGCGTGGCGCCGGAGGAACACATCGACTCGAATCCCAGCGACCCGCACCTGGGCCTCGACCACTTTGGGTTCCGCGTGGATGACATCGACGGTGCGGTGGAGGACCTGCGGGGCAAGGGGGCGGAGATCTACGTTGAGCCGCGCACCATCCGGCCCGGCGTGCGTATCGCCTTCGTCCGGGGCCCCGACGATGTTCGCATCGAGCTGCTGCAGCGCGACGGCTCGGGCCTGATAGAGCCGTAACCGGGCTGGTGGCTCCTAGAACCGGCGCGTTCGCAACCAAGCCCAGAGGCTCAGCGCGGCCAGCACAGCGCCCACCCCTACCAACGCCCACGCCACGCCCTTGATCAGAAAGAGGCCCACCGGCGTCAGCAGAAACAGGCCCAGGCAAAGCAGGCCCAAGCCGCAACCAAACGCGCCCGATGGGCCGGATGCACGGTACATCATGGGGAGTCGCGGCGGTCGCATCGGAGGTCAAGCCGGCCAGGGAGTCGGTGCTTGGCCTGTTCGCGGACGCTGCCCTCCTGTCGTAGTTTCTCTTCTCCAGGTGAGTGCGCACGTTGCGGCCGGCGGCATCGCGCAGCGACTTGCGGAGGTTGCGCGGGTAGACGGCGGCCACAATTGCGTCCACGGTGGATGCTCCGCCGGCGATTGCAGCGAGCACAATCCTGGTCCTCGCGACCCTGCCGGTGGGCAATCTGCTGCAGGATGCGCGACTCGCCCCGAACGATGGTGTTGCCGTGGCCGGGGCAGACGACCTGCCTGTGCGGCGGTGTGGCATGGCGGCTCAGCGAGGACATGTACATTGTTCAGTGTGCGCACGCTGGATGACGCGTTGCCAACGGTTGTCGCCGCTGAACACAGCACGCGGTCGGGCCGCAGGAAGTAGCACACGTGGTCTTCCTCGTGTCCCGGCGTGAAAAGCGGCCGCAGGGTCGCGCCGCCGCCCGTGGCAATAGATTCTCGAGCGCCGGAGGGCAACCACCGAGTCGCCGCCGAGGATGTGCTGCAATCGGGGCGCCAGTTTGGGGTGGCAACGCACCGGGCAGACCGAATAGCTCCTGCAACCGGTCCAGCCCACCGATGTGGTCGCCGTGGCCGTGAGTAATCAGGATGGCGTCGATGCGGGGCGACCCAACTCTTCCCAGTAGGCTGCGATCTGGCGGCGCCAGGCGTCGGTACGGGCTCTCGAAGCGATCATCACATGTGCCGGCGGGTACGCCACGAAGTAAATCTGGGTACCGCCCGGGTGCATTGCCCCGTAGGTGTTGGGGTCTTCCGCGATGTGAGTGCTGTAGACGTGGTCGGTGATTTGCATAGTTGGTCTCGCTGGGGAAGTATTTGTGGGGATTTCACCCTCTCCCTCTCCGGTCAAGGGAGAGGGGATTAGCCCGAGGGATCACCACTGTTTGGAGTTGATGTAGCGGAACGCCGCGATTGCGGCGGTGGCGCCGTCGCCGGCCGATGCTACCAGTTGGGATGCAGATTGCTGCCGGATGTCGCCGGCCGCGAACAGCCGGGTTGTGGTGTCTCCATAGTTAGGCCCACCGGGATGTGTCCCGAGTTATCCAGCAGCACCAGGTTGGCGACGGCGACGGAGTTGGGATCGAGGCCGACGTACACGAACAGGCCGTGGAGGGTTTCGACGGTCTCGCCGTCGGCGCTGCGCACCCGCACACCGGTTACGGCATCTTCGCCCAGGATCTCAACGACCTCGGCGTTGTAGCGCACCTCAATCTTGGGGACGCGGCGATGCGTTCCCGCAACACGCTTTGGGCGTCCAGTTCGTCGCTGCGGTGGAACAGGATGACCCGATCGGCGTACTCGGTTAGGGTCAGGGCCTCGTCGGCAGCAGAGTCGCCGCCGCCCACGACGGCAACGGTTTGACCCATGTACATCGGGCCGTCGCAGGTTGCGCAGTGGGAAACTCCTCGCCGGTTGAACTCTTCCTCGCCGGGGATGCCCAACGTGCGCAGCGACGAACCGGCGGCCATGATGACGGCCTTCCCGCGATAACTGTCGCCGCCGTCGCCGGTGATTTGCAGGTAATCGCCGTCGATGGTGATGTTAGTGGCCGTATCCATCAGCATACTACGCCGGCGTTCATGGCCTGTTCCTGGGTGGCAGGTCCGAGTTCGTAGCCGGCGATGCCCTGGGGGAAGCCCGGATAGTTCTCGATGCGCTCCAGGTTGATGATCTGGGCGCCGGCCATCATCTCCTCAACGATGGCGGTGCTGAGGCCGTGGCGGGCAGCATAGATGCCGGCGGTCAGGCCGGCCATGCCGCCGCCGATGATGATAACGTCGTAATTCTGATCGGGCACTGGTTTACCTCACTGGGAATCGGTTAGGTCAGGGAATTGGTTGGGGTTGGGAATTGGTCAGGACTGGGGATTAATCAGGACTCGGGATTAATAATGTAGTCGAAGATGCGCTGGCGCACGGCGAAATGGAAACCGGGCAGCACGTCCTCATCGCCATCAACAAATTCTGGATCCGGCAACGGCTCCGGTTCACGGTTGGGCCGGAAGATGGTTACGGTGCGGGCGTCCGCATCGATCAACCAGGCCAAGCGCGTGCCGTGGGAGATGAACAGGTCAATCTTGTTTACCAGTTCGGCGTCGCTGTTGGATGGCGATTTAATTTCGGCGATGAAGTCCGGAGCGAATTGGGCGAAGGGGCGGTTTTGCGGTTGCGGTAATTCGGCGCGGCGCGGCGGCGAGACCCACGAAACATCCGGCCCCGGGCGAGAACCGTCGGGTAAGCGGAAGCGTCCGGTGGGTCCGCCGGCAAAGCCTCCGAATTCTCTGGCCCAGATTGTCAGGTCGGTCGACAGCTGGGTTTCGTGGTAAAAGTCTGGCGAGCAATGCCATGATGAGCAAACGTCCTGTATTCGAGATTTCGTAAGTCTGCCCATCTTCCGCGTCGCGCTCGGAAAACTCTTCAAACCAGTTGTCCAGGTCGGACGTCGGCCAGCGACTTGCCAAACTCGGCCAAAGGGATTGACGCGGTGTATGGCTTGGCTCCCGACGGGCCGGGCGGGACAAGGGGATTTTGCCGAGTTCTGATGGTGGTCATGGTGATCCTCTGGACATTGGACGGCCCACCGTGTTCAACACCCCCGTGTTCATCACCGACTATGATCAATGCCGGCCGTGATCAATGCAGATGGTGTTTATCCCGCCGGGCGCCGGCTAATTGTACCATCGGCCACCTGACACGCCGACTGACGTCGGAAACAATTCGTCGCGGTGGTCAGTCAGCTAGCGTGCCACTGCCGGCCGATTGAGCAGGTTCGCTCGCACCACCAGGGCGTCGGGGAGCGTGGGCACGCCGGCATCTTCAGCGCCGACCGGCATTGCGATGGCCTGGGCCACTCTCTGGCGCGCGAGTTGGCAATATTCGGCGGAAATTTCCAGGCCGATGTATTCCCGTCCCTCAAGCGCTGCTGCCACTGCGGTGGTACCGCTGCCCATGAACGGATCCAGCACGACGCTGGCCGTGGTGGCGGCGATAGCGCGTTGAGCCAGTTCCAGCGGGAACGATGCCGGGTGCGGGTTGTCCCGATCCTGGCGGATGTGCCACACATCTCCAATGCCGCCAGCCTTGGGAGCCAGCCGGAACTTCGGGTTGGCAATCAGGTAAATTACCTCGTAGGTGGGCAGGAAGTAGCCGGGGTTGTGGTTGAATCCGCCGGAGCGTTGCCAGATGATTATTTGCCGCACGGGGAAGCCGTCCATGATGTCGGAGCGGTCTTGCAGTAATCCGCGCTGCACCCGCCACTTGTGGTTGTAGAAAATGGTCGCCCTCGGGACGCGAGCGCCCGCAGCATCCCTCGCAGACATTCCGTGGCCATGACCACGTAGTCATCGTGAGGCATACAGTCGCCTGTGGTCGGCGCTACACCACGCATCAGAGCCGAGCGAGACCACTTGCCGCCGTTGCCGTTTTCATTCCGTGCCAGCTGCGGTCTTCAGACAGGTTGCTGTACGCGGGGAGTACCACCAGGTCACGAGCGGCCGGCATCGGCGACACAGTTGCAGGCCAGTCGACCTGGTGGATCTGGTTTAGCCAACGGCGCATACATTTGGTCGGTTCTATAAAAGTAAAGTGAACCAGCGCAGTGAACCTCAAACCGTGCAACGTATGGCATAGAGATGGGCCTGCAACTTTGGCGGATGCTGACCGCGCCGTCGGATCACGCGTACCACGCTTAAATCTGTCATTGCGAGGAGACATAGCGACGTGGCATACTCGTCGCGTAGCAACGAGCGGTCGCCGGACGTGTGTTCATCCTCATCGAGCGCAGTCGTCCCGGCGGCCTGGCGAAGGACGACGCTTCGCATGACACAGTGGGTACGCATGAGCGCGGCGGGCCGTTGCGCGCCTGCTGCCACACGCCTACAAATGACGCCGCAAGCATAGTTCCCACAATATCAACGTCCCCGCCCTACGGTGCAGCAATGCCCGGCATTCATAAGGAGAATGTGTCATGCCATCGAAACGTTATCTCCGGCTCTGGACAACATACTAGACATGCGACGCTCCCATTGAGATATGGCATCCGCGTTAGGTGGCGGCGAGGGCGCGGAAGGGCCGGATGTGGTGGAGCGACGGCGTCTACCTGATGTCAGCGACACCACAACGACCGCCGGATGCGCTATACGCGGGCAGCGGCGTACCGTGACGCCGACGGCTGGTGAACCGTCACACGGTCTGACACGGCAGCAGACCAGACGAGTTTGTGCGTACTGGCCTGGGGCGCTGGTGTGCGGCTGCGAGCACGACGGCCGCGCGTGACCCGACTTGAGGCGCGACGGTCGACACCGTGCTGGCCAACAGTTCAGTCGCAGCTGAACCGCCCAACGACGTCGGTGGTGAACGTCGACGCAGCACCTATTCACGATCCGATGGCGTGGACGCTTACGACGACCCGTCAGCAATGGGACAGACCATCTCTGGAGTCTTTCGTCTGTCCGCCGACTAGGCACGCTGACGCTGCTGTCGGCCGACTTCGTGTGCACAAACGGCTCGCCTTCTCGCCCGACGAGAGCATTCTGTACGTGACCGACTCACGCGGGCGTCATTCGGCCTCGACGTGCAGGACGACGGCACCGTGTCCCGAGCGACGCAGCGCATGTTCGCCGATATGCGCGGCGAGCGACGAGGCAGTGCCCGACGGATGAAGGTGACGTTGAAGGAAACGTGTACTGCGGCGGCGCGGGCGGTCTGCACATCATGACGCCGGCGGCGAGACACGGGCATGTCGCATGGCCTAGCCGGAGACCACAAACCTGTGCTTCGGCGGAGCGACTGGAAGACGCTGTTGTTACTTCACCAGCGCAACACACCGTGGGCAGGCGTGCGTCAAGATTGCGCCTGCGGTCGCTCACCGGCAGGTGGTAATTTCGTTCAACATACGATGCCTACTCCCATCAAGGGAGAGGCCACACAAATCAACAGGAGGCAAGGAAAGAAATGCGTGTAATCCGTATCGCTAACTTGTAGAGCTGGGCCGCTGGGGACCGCGCGCGCGGTGCCCGGTTGGACGCGGCGAGTGCACCGCACCCGCCAACCATCATCACTGAAGGAGAGAGTGACTTTTTCACGCACCAAGCGTGGTCAACTTTCAAACCGGCGCACAGACGGGTGCACGTCACAGCCGCGACCAAATCCTGTAATCACCCCGGCAACGAACAGTGGACCGACGAAACCTCAGGAGATTGCGGTCGGCGTGGCGACGTGTTGCAGATCAAGGCGGGTGAAAACCACTGGCACGGCGCCACCGCCACGGCTACATGGGCACATGCACGATCACGGCCAGGCGACAGTACCGCAGCCGATAGGTGTCGGCGTCTGCATTGCGAGGAGCGGAGCGAGTAGTGGCAATCCGCTGGGGTGGCCCCTGACTCCCCGACGACCGTGATTGCCCGACGAGAGTGCCGCAGCTTCGCTCGCAATGACGTGAGGAAAACAAGAAGGAAAACAAAGAAATGGACCTGATTGACGAGATTCTCGAGAACGTGAAAACCATTTTCGCGAGGTAGTTCCCCGTTGACGCTCCTGGGGCACTTCTCATTTTTCCCGCGGGCTCCCCCGCTCGTTTGGGCACCCCACTGGGGGGGGGGCCACGTGGGGGGGGGGGGTTGTGACGGGTTAGGTGGGGTGTCCGACAACAGGCCGGGACAGCAACGGTGTGTATCGGCCTACATGACGAAGTCCCAAGGGTATCGCATCATACGGTGAACCGGCGTTGAACGGCGCACCGTGCTGGGCGAGCAGTCGTACAACGACATCCTGGAGTACAGCATCGGCAGCGGCGCAGCCAGTGCGGCAGTACGAACCTGGTGGACGTGTTCCGTCGCACGCGAGTTCGCTGGCGCGGTGTCGACGACGCGGTCGCGGTGAGCATCGGGCGCGCGCATGCATCTGATGACAGGACGGCGTGGTGACGAAGAGCAGCCGCACGAGCGCGCCGCACGCCGGACTGGGAGTCGGATTGGACGACAAACGACTGCACTCCTGAGGCAGCACCAGCGGCGGCGGGGGTAATCGATGAAGCTTGTATGGAACATATATGCTAAAATCATCGCTAGTCAACTCACACAGCGCATCGACCCACAAACATTAACTGACGCAATTTCCAACGCAATCGTAAATGTGGCCAAGCCCAAGAGTGAAGAGCTTTTTGATGGTCTTGCTCCCGAGCAGATTGCCGCCAACTTGTGCACCGCTTTCAATCTTTGAGGGACGATCAGCACCGGCAAACGGAAAGCGGACCGAATCACGACGATTGGGTGTTGCTTTGTGCTACAGCATTGGTACGTACCGGCGCGAATCCATTCGGCGTATAGAACTTTCAGACCACGTGCCAATTGAAGACTCGCGAATCCGAAGGATTGGGCCTGCGGCCTTCAATCTCGTAGACTCGGGGGCGGTACGTAGCTGGCCAAATGGGTATGGCGTTGCACCTGTGCGGACATCGTCTTGGTGGGTACTATTCGAAATATCCTTGCCTGGAATCGCGGTGGGTGTGCTCTCACTAGGGCTAATCGACAATTGCTAACCCCAGATGACAGAGGCTACCAAGT